TAATATACTACTTATCTTATTATGTTACTAATAATAATAAAGTATATATATATATATATATATATATATATATATATATATATATATATATATATATATATATATATATATATATATATATATATATATATATATATATATATATATATATATATATATATATATATATATATATATATATATATATATATATATATATATATATATATATATATATATATATATATATATATATATATATATATATATATATATATATATATATATATATATATATATATATATATATATATATATATATATATATATATATATATATATATATATATATATATATATATATATATATATATATATATATATATTATCTTCTCACTACACCCCCATGACTCTGGTTTTGTTCATACACCCCTAATGCCTTTATTCTCATAATATTTACGGTAGTACTCTCTAATCAAAGTACAACAACACATCTCATTATTCATATAAACACACAAAGATACTAAATTCATATAATTATGTAATTAAAATAATCTAAATTAAAAATAGGGTGTTACAACTCTCTCCCACTTAGAATATTTTCGTCCTCGAAAGTTACCTTACACAAACAATTCTGAATAAGACTCCTGCATCTTACTCTCTAATTCCCATGTTGTGCTTTCTCTAGCAGATCCTCCCCAAATCATTTTCACCAAATCAATTTAATTTCCCCTTAGCTTCTTCATTTCACGATCCTCGGTTCGTACAGGCACGGTCTCAACAGTAAGATTGTCCCGTACTTGCATATCATCGATAGGAATCACATGAGAGGGATCTGAAATGTATATCCGAAGTTGTGATACATGGAACACATCATGAAAATTCGACAGATTAGGTAGCAAGGCCACCCTATACACAACAGTCCCCGCCTTATCTGAAATTTTATACGGACTGATAAACCGAGGAGTCAACTTCCTCGACTTCAAAGCACGACCTACACTGGTCACTGGAGAAACTCTAAATAATACATGGTCTACCGCTTGGAACTCAAGATCCTTCCTCCTCTTGTCATGGTAAATCTTTTGTCTACTCTTAAAAGCCTTCATCTTATCTCGAATTAACTTCACTTTCTCTGTAGTATGTCGATAATTTCGGGTCCGAGCGCTACACTTTCACCAGATTCATACCAACACAAAGGCGTTCTGCACCTCCGACCATACAATTCCTCGAAATATTCCATACCAATACTAGAATGGAAACTATTGTTGTAGGTGAACTCTATCAATGACAGATAGTTGTCCCACATACCTCCCTGTTCAAGAACACATGCTCTCAGCAAGTCTTCCAACGGCTGAATAGTCCCCTCTGTCTGACCATGTGTCTGTGGGTGATACGCAAAATTCAATCTCAGATTAGAACCCATTGCATCCTGCAAAATCTTCTAAAAATCAGAAGTAAATCTAGGATCTTTATCCTACATAATACTCGACAAAACACAGTGCAACTTTACAATTACGCGAATATAAATCTCTACCAACTTCAGCATAGGAAAACTTATATTAATCAGAATGCAATGGGTTGATTTTGTCAGTCAATGAATAATCACCCAAATCGTATCTTGTCCTCTTAGAGTATTTGGTAGCCCTGTCACAAAGTCCATTGATATACTATCCCACATCCACTCTGGAACATTTAAAGGTTCCAACAATCTCACAAGCTTCTGATGTTCGACTTTCCACTTCTGACAAGTCAAGCATGCATACATAAACTGCGCCACATTACATTTTAGTCCCGGCCACCAAAATAATTTTTTTAAGTCTTGATATATTTTAGTATCTCCCAACTGAACAGTTAAACTACTTTGATGAATTTCTTCCATAATCATCCTTTTCATATCTACGTCATTCAGGAATACGAATTCGGTTGCCGAATCTCAACGCACCTTGCATATCTACTTTAAAATTAATGTATTAAGATTGGTCATCCCCAATCATCGATTCTACAAACTTCATATCTAACTTCTGAGCTTCTTTAATATTGTCTAGAAAATCATTGTGGATCTTTAGCATTCTCAATATAACACACTACAGAGTTAATTCACAAGCTAGAATCAAATCTCTGAACTGCTCAAACAATTCTAGCTCTCTAACCATCATAGAAGACATATGTAAAGTCTTTTGACTCAAAGCATCATCTATAACATTATCTTTACCTGGATGATAATTTAAGCCAAAGTTGTACTCTTTCAACAATTCTAACCACCCGCGTTGCCTCATATTCAATTCATTATGATCAAACAAATACTTTAAGTTATTGTGATCACTAAACACTTCAAATATAGAACCATAAAGGTAATGCCTCCAAGTTTTTAGTACAAACACCACTACAACTAACTCTAGATCATGAGTAGGATAATTCCTCTCATGAGTCCTCAACTATCTCGACGCATAAGCCACCACCTTATCATTCTGTATAAGTAGACCTTCTAGACCCAATTCAACCCCCATTTTCTTATGTTTATTTCACCTTCAATAGTTACCCCATAAACTGAAAAACAAAATACTATTTAATTTTTGAAATTTTATTTCTTGAATAAGACAGACATCCGCCATACCTGTTTGAATTGTATGTTGAATCTGCCTCCTCTTTGCACTATTGCACTCACCCCTAATACTGTATGATATTATATTCATTGAAATTTGACTTTAGCCGCAATCCTTGCATTTTTTCCTTCATGATCTCTTTGCTCCATAGGTTAAATAGCCTTCTCGTATATCTCCTTATCTTCTCCACAAACTATCCCTAACTCTGTAATTGCCTTCCATGTTTTTCCTCCAACATTTGAATCCAGATTCTCCCATAATCGACCATTCCCCTATACCACGTTTGATTCCGTATTTGAGTTACAACATAAAATGGATCCACTAGAGAAATGTTGAGAACAATCACTTCCAAATCCCTTGTCAGACATTTTGATAATAATCAGATACTTCCTAGGACCAAGAATCATGAAATAAGAGGGTTGGGAAATCCCTATGTCGTGATGCCTTTCCTCATTAATATTTTTATTACTTAATAGTGGATTCTTTCACACAAGATTATTTAGATTGCATTGTTAATTACTCACTATTGGGCCACTATCTGATATCCCCAATCCCACTGATGTGTTTCCCAATTGGGCCTGGATCGGATCACAATCATGGGCCGAAACAGTAATAGGAGAACACTTTCTAATTACCTTTTTAGCCTTTCCTTTGACGCCAACTGGATTAGTTTATTCTTTTTCTTATTTTTCCTTACGCGTTTGACTTTGTCTACGTCCAACAATGTCCTTTCCACTTTTCATGGAGGAACGTCACACCTGACAACCTCAAACTCCTTCACACTTTCATTATCTCCTTCCAAGACTGACTTTTCGCCTACATAAAAAATAACAATGGCTTTTTCCACTCTAATTTCACTAGTGCAATCAACATCAACGTTGCCCCTACCCTCTCCCCTCTCCACACAACCAACAAACCCTTGTACTTCCTCATCGTCTTCCTCCTAGCTACCGGAACCGGACTTTATATAGTATTAAAATAAATATATTTTGTTTTTCTTATTTTCTTTTAACTTTCACTTTATTTGACAATTCAAAAATAGGTAAGGACAATCTCAATTTCTTAAAAAAATGAAGATGGTTCTTAATAATTAGTAATATTTTTAGCTTATAAACGTCAAGTAATTTCAATTGAAGTCACCTATTTCAAGAATATATAAATTAAAATATTAAATTTTTTATAAATGAACTTTTCATTTCTTTTATAAAATAGAAATGATCTCAACTCTTCAAAAATAATTTACTTTTCATTCACTTTTTACTCGTTTTCACTTTTCAATATTTTTTCTCTTACTTTCCTTCTTTTCTCTTTCTTTTCACATCCAAACACATGGTTGGAGGAATTTAGTACTTATTAATTATGATGGACAACAAATTTTAATTGTTATTCTATTAAGGAATCAGAAGTGTGTGGTGAAGTAGTGAAATGAAGTTTTGGTGCGGCAGAATAAGTTTTCGGTACGAGAAATACAGGGTGAAACTTCAAAGTTACTATTTCAACATCTAAGTCGGTGGCTGAGTAAAAGTTAGTATGAGAGAGAGAAAAAATTGAATATCTGAAATGATGCGATTTAATTTTTATATAGTTGGACAATTTAAACCATCCGGGTGTGCTTCAAAATCTTGTGTCAATAGTCATTCAATTAGATTTAACATTAGGAGATATGGTTGGAATCATGATTTTATCTCCTCAACAGAGACGAGGGTTCCCCGGTTCTATGCATTTGGTTCCTCAACGCTTGATATTTTGCCTTCTTGTGCCCCTTGTGGATGACCCATATCAGTTTCCCCTAATCCCTTATTCATAAGTCGTAGAGAAAATGCTTTACTAGGTTCATGTTCAGTCGAGATTTTGGTAGAGTAATATAAAGATTCGTAATGGGAATTTGAATCTTTGGGAATAGGTACATTAAATTTCTCCCTCGTAACTAACAACGTTTCACAGGTACTTCTGAACACATGTATGCATGTCCGACAATAATGATTCCTTCTAGTGCTAGGGCACTTGAATGATATTGAATCGTGTACGATGGAATCTTGACCATTGGTGGTGTGATTCACGCTTCCTAACACCAAAAACCACAAGGTTTATCTTCTCCGGAGGATATATAAAGAGTTTTGTGGATTACTATGTTATCTTTTTTCTTTCATTTGTGAACATTTGAAAGCTCTTCTGCTTTGCCAACAACCTCCTACCACTACAAGAAAAATGGAATTTTATGACACATTAATTGTGACGGTTCCTAAAAAACCGCCCTTAATTTTAATTAACGACGATTTCCCTACACTGTCGCAGATAATTTTCTTCTTTTCTGTATGGAAACATTTGTTATAAGGGATAAAAAATACATTAAATGCCAGCAAATTTTACATGAACCGCCTTTGCTCAATTTCTGAGACACCTATATGAACCTTCGCCATGTTTGATGAACACACAAAGGCCCACGCTGAACAAAGTTTTCATTGTCGTGCTTACTCTTTAATTTATTTTATTATTTTTCTAAAAAATCCCATATCTCTCTGTTTCTACTATGTCTTCTCATGTCTCTCGGTCATTCTCCTATCATATCTCAAATCTCTCAATATGGTTTTCCTCTTTATCTCATGTACACAATTAGTTTTGTTCGGCTCTTTCAAAAATTCTTGGGAAACTGAAATCCCTTTTCCTTTTTTTTGTTAAGCAACGGGCTTCACTGCTTTCTGCTTCCTCCATCATCATCGGAGTTCACTTTATTATTATTCTTCCAGTTAATCATGAATCAGTAGTTAGATGATGTGTCTAAAATTTTCTTTATGATCTTAAAAGTACATAAATGTAGTTCTCTTGGTTCTTAAGGTTTTCTTTCACAAAGGGATGCTTTAACCTTTTTGACCAGTTTTTGCTTTTACAAAGGGAGGTTTTGATGTTCTTCATCAAGTTTTTCTTTCACAAAGGGAGAGTTTTTGATGTTCTTCATCTGATTGACTTAAAGTTTCTTCATAATTTTTAATTTTTTGTGCATTTCAGGTTTCAATTTAGGGTTTTGTTTATTAACTTTTAACTCTTTAAAAGATTCCACGCCTTCATGACTATATGTAAGTTTCTCTAATAAATGATTATACAAATGTTATATGTACTATCATTATGCAAAAGTTCCTCTCTTCAATCAATCTTATGTGGGGAAACTTTGTGGAATGTTTGAAAGGGTTTATACTAGATCTTACATATTTTTCTGTTTGTAATTGAAGAATTCAGTGTTTTAGGTTGAAGATAGATGTGAGAGAACTAGATATTCAATTGGTTGTTTTAGAGTATACCTTATGTTCTTGATGGTATCAAGGTGTAATTTCTTGATTTTATGCTTATTATAATGCCTGCTACATGTTTGATAAAATGTTATTGAGAAAAACATACTACATTATTCTGCTTTAATGCGTTGCTGATATTCTTTTTCATTGAAAGTAGTTATAAGAGTAAGATTCTTCATAGTTTCAAGTTCTCATTATGTTTATGGTGCAACAAATAGCTAATTCCTACTATAACATCCAGTAGCAAGGTGAGTTTATATGTCACTCTTAAGTCCTCAACACCATATAATTGTTTACTTACTGATACATTAGTAACTTGGTTTTCTTGACCATGTAACTCAATGATACCTAAATCCCATAACTTGATGCATTTAACTGGTTTTCTATGGAGTCTAATGTGTCTTTTAATCTACATCGATGAACATGTTAGGTAGAATCAAGGTTTGAGCTTTGGCAATTGTGAGTGCTATCTAATTGTCTATTTTCTTAAATTGTATTACCATGGGTCAGGTAATTTATTGTATTAGGCATGGTAGATTCATTCTGGATGGATATTCCTTGTGTATAGACTCTAAGATATTGGAATTTTTAAGGATCTTGGGAACTCGTATGTCCTTGGGTGTGGTCTTCTGATCTGTCCAAGAGCTCCATATACCTCATGGGCAAGTTATTGTGTCGTTAAACGCATATGGTTCAGATCCATCGTAAAAACTCAACTTCTCTATTCTTAGCCAAAACTTATTAAAATGTTCTTTGTAGATGATATCACAAGAGCTCCCCCCATATAATAGAATCCTCAATACATCAAAATTAGCTATTGTTGCTGTTATCACCAAAGGAAAATCTCATTTGGGATTCCTCTCACCTTTTTGCTATGTTGGAACCCGAGGATTAACCTTTTTGGCATTCCATTAGGGGTTGTTCCTTCTTCTATTTTGATTTCGATTAACTCAAAGTCCTCCTCTTCATGGTCCCATTGGAGGTTTTTTTCTTTGGGTAAACCCTCTTTTAAATCCTCCTCATCCTCGACGATATTGTATTTCTTCCCCTTGGACCCGCTTATGACCTCAAGAGTTTGTTAGACTTGAGTCTTCATACACAAGAGGAGGGGGAATTGTGTGGTTTTCAAAAATGTGGTTTTCAAAAACTTTGTAAAATAAAATCAGAGTTGAAAAGCATTTTTGAAAAACTTAGTAAGGGAAAATAAAATGAAGAAAATAAATTGTAGAGATTAAAGGAGTTAAGGGAAGAAGAAGAACACAAAGATTTATTCAGGTTCAGTACAAAACAACTTAGTCTTGTTCCTAAGAATTGATCTTGAGAGTTTCCAATAAACATTGAGAGCTTTTAGTAGGAATGAATCACGAACCCCCCTATACAAAAAAAAAATGATGGCTGATCTTAAACCAAATAATACAAGACGATAAATATGTGTGTTCACGTCTTTTATTCAAAATAAAATCAGGAGTGAAGTGTCCAATCTTCCTCCTCAATGGTGAATAGAAGAGGTTAGTCTTCTCTCCACAAACATATACCTTGGAGAAATTAGTCTTCAAGTACCTAAACCTTTGAGGTCAAACACCTTGGTTTTACACGCGATAACAAATAATATCTGAGATTTTAAAAATGGGATGATCTCGAACCTATAAAGATTTTAATATAGGGCTGATATTCAACCTATCTTGGTTTTAATATCGAGCTTACTAAGAACCTTGAAGATTTTATAACGGGATGATCTCCAACCTAAACTAGGATTGAATCACACAATTCCAAACCAAAGTTTTTTTTACGGGTTTAGCTTCTAATCTAAATAAATCCCTAAATGGATAATATTCAACCAATGTGTATAAAAAAGATTCCTTTGTATAATTTACAATTCCACCCTTTCTAGAATTACAAATGTGTCCTCACTCACAAAAGGATTTTCCTTACAAAAAAACTTAGGCTAAAACGTTAGTGAGAGAAAGTTAAAGAAAAGTTTAGGGAGAGTGGGAGATGGAAGTGTCAAAACACGATTCTGGATTGTTTGGAATGAGAAATGGAACCTCTATTCATAGGCCTGAGGTTGGCTCTAAAAAGAATTTTAATTTAATGCATTTTAAGGAAATCTAATAGATTAGAGCTCTTATCTAACCGATTAAATGGTAAAAGTATTCATTTGTAAGTTCTCAAAAAGGAAGGTTTAGATATTTATCTGTTGCACAAAATCAAGGGGCATTAAAATAGCTTGGACCTTAAGTTAGTGTATTTCGAATTGATTAGACAACTGTTATAACCAAATAAAAAAGTAAAAAAAAATTCTAGTTATTTTGACTGCTCCTAATTTATCTTAGACAACTTCTAGATGTTTTTTAAAATACTTTATTTTGGTAAAGAGTTTTTAAAATAGCTTTGCGTGTGTGTGTACTTTATCCGCACGCTTTTATGAAAACATACTTTTGATTTTACAATTGTTCACTCATTAGTAAATTAGAAGTTTACCATATTACTTCAAGACTTTTCCAGATACTTCTTTTTTTTGTTGACACATGCTTGAGTAGTTTGAGATGAGGCTTTAGTTGTATTCCATTTGATTTCCATCATCAAATAGTCAAGTCCATCAAACCCTAATGATAAGGTTTGAATATTTATCCTCTTAATCGTTCATGCTTGACTTATCGTAATACATTAGTTGTCATCATCAAAAGTAGATGTCCTTGTTCAAACCATATCACCTACACCAAATCATGTGGTTAAAAATTTTCTTTACCCAATTTGTTGGGATCTCTTGGGTTAGGAGTCTTAAAGGTAATACTTCTTCCGTAATCACATAGCCATGGTATATAATGGAGAGTAAAGTATACTCTCTATTTAACTCAGGGGGAGTTTAAAATACTTTAAATATATAAATGTGTTGTTTTTCTTTCCACCTCCCCTGAGAGAAGCATCGTCATTATAAAAAGGGGAGAATGTGGATCTATGTGCTTGGAGGTAATAAAGACCGGCATCTCAAGTTTTGATGACGACAATGCATGACAAAAAAACCTTTAAAACTAATGATAACCAAAGCATATTATAAGAGACCTCAAGATCAAGTTCTTATACAAACATATACTATCTAGCAAAATATGAAAGTTACTATAGTGAAAGGTGTGAAAGCTCGCCAAGTCATGTCTGTCAGGTTGTATGAGTGAACTGAGTATTGTAAAAGTAAGATAGTAATTTAAGAGTACTAAGGAAACTCACACACACTTCAAAATATTTTCTACCTTGAAAATGTTTTTCTAAATCCAAAACCAAGTGATTAAAAAGCTATCCAAACATTTTTTAAACCATGTAATCAATTGGAAATATGAGTCAATTGATTGGAAAACTTTTTGATCTACATATTCCATTAGAACACTTGTACAATTGATTAGAAGGATGATAATCGATTATACAATCAGCAAAGATATCAAATTAATGACTTGCAACAACTCTATATCCAAACTTTCCTAATTAGGATTTATAATCGATTATATTTGAGATGTCTAATCGGCAATGAGAACCAATGAGTTCATTAACTTTGATGCTGCTTAAGTCTTAGACTTATTCAATAGCTATAACCTTCATATCAAACTTCTTAGTTAGTGATATGAGGATTTTGTGACCAACTTATCTTCAGACATCTTCTCTCTTAAGGATCAAAAGTTGTTGGCTATATCACAAAGGAAAATATTGAAGTTAGATATCGATTCACATTCTCTCATTCTAAGATTCTCAAATTTGGTTGTGAGAAGCTGCAATCTTGACATATGAACTTTGGATGTGCCCTCAAGTATAGGTTTGAGGATCTCCTAAGCCTCTTTGGCTTCATTACATGTGTTTATTAATATAAACATGTTCTTGTCCACACCATTGAAAATAGTATTCAAGGCTTGAGAGTTTCAAAGTGCTTCTTAATCTTCAGCAGTATACCACTCAGCTTATGGATTTAATATTGATGTCCCATATTGAGAGGTAGTCACAGGGTGTTTCCAACCTTTTATTATAGCCTTTCATGTTTTGTTGTCTATGGATTTAAGGAAAGAAATCATTGTAGCTTTCCAGTAATCATAGTTGGTGCTATCCAAAACAAGTGGTCTATTGAATGATCTGCCTTCCTTAGTATTGCCCATGTGAATAGAAAATATATTCCATGGAGCTCACCCAAACAAAATAGGGTTCCTGCTCTGATACCAATTGCAATTATGTTATTCGCAAGATAAATGTTGGACACAATATTTGAGATAATGTCTACAACTTGCTTATATTAAATTAACAAATTACAGTAATTAAATAAAAAAGAAATAAAAAAGGATTGTTAACTCAGTTCGGTGCAACATCACCTACGTTTGGGGGGCTTCCAACCGAAGAAAGAAAATCAACTCTCAA